GCGGGAGCCGTCCCCCCCGAGCCCGGGGCAGCCGGGAGCCTGGGTCGGAGAAGGACGAGCCGCTGCAGGGAGCAGGTCTGCGGCAAGGTACAGACCCCTCTGCCTCCGGAGCATGTGGAAAAGCCGTTCTAAACACTGGTGGAAGCGGGGTCCGAAAAGAGATAGACTTCATAACTACAGGCGAGCACTTAGGCTGTAATTTAAAACTGTCAACAAGCTAATCTTCGGTAATTGCCTTTTAAAGTGACTCTGCCTTCTTGAAACTTTTTATGTGATTTGATGAGAATTTCATCTTAAAACTTCAGAGTCGCCCCACCTTACAACTTTACTTACACTTTTAGTTCTCGACGGGTATATCAGATACTCAGAGACGCTTAGCTTTAGGAAGGGGCACGTCTCTGAGGCAAACTAGGCTGGACAATAGAAGGTTGGCCGGCGTTATTGCTGTGCAAGTAACTGCAACTTGAAAGGTTATTTACAAACATAGCTATGTTTAAACGGGCTCGTTTCCCGCTTCTGAGCTGCTTTCAGGTGACATATCTATATACAGGGAGAAATAATCCCGTAGCTCATCATGGCAGAATTTTAGAGAGATTGTGCGTGCTCCCCATAGTGTGTTTGTGCATGCCTCCGAAAGGCATATTGTGTTGGCAGGTACAATACTGCTAATATTTGAAGCCTTCGTATTGTCTTCATTGCATTTGCTGATTTTTTGTTATAGCAGAAAAGTCGGAACCCGACTGTACAAAAACAAGCACTTCTGAATATTAAGTAACTAGAGTTTTAGCAAAAAAACCCCCGAACACCCTAGTATTTTTATTTTTCCCTTGGCTGGATCAAATTACATCTATATAGCTACAGCTACACAATACACAGAAGAATAGCAGACTCACACGAATACTTTCAGCTTTTGATGTGATGCTACCCGTAGGTTTGCATTTCTTGGCAGTTTCCATGAGGAAAATTCCTCAGCTTATTCCCATTTTAAAGAATTGGCAAAACAGTCATATTTTTTAAAGTATTCATCAAAAGTCGACACAAATTCACCTAGCACCTCTACTTTCCGAGATAGACCTCTATCTTCCGAGCTCTGGGATATGGGGCTCTCATGGGACTTTCCTCCACGGTCACAGTGCGGTGGATTTGGCTTGTTTTGCTTTGATTTGGAAGCATCAAACTGCCTGGAGCTGTTGCACGTTATCGCGGCCTCTGGCTAAACTGAGCTAGATTCAGTATACAAGAAGCAGATCCGAATTGTGATTAATTTAAGAAGATTCTTTCATTAATTTTCGGGCCAAAAATCTGTTTTGGTGATTTGTCAGGAAACAAATACATAAAACCCTCCCCCTCCTTTCCTAGCGCACACACACCTTAGCGAACTCGCCCTCCCCTGTCAAGTTTCATACAGGTTCAAGCTTCTGTCGTTAAGGGTTTTAGGGGGGTGGATTGTTTTTGCAAATTAATTATCTGTGGAGACAGAAATGTCAGTCCTCTCACTCTACCAGTGCATAAAGCAGAGGAGGCTGCAGGAGCTCTGGTAGATCTGACTGCTTGAACGGCCTTTGAAAGAGGGTTCATCACACACACACACCCGCCTCCCCCTGTCCCACCAGCTTAGATTCATAGCTGAATGAAGGTGTCTAGCCTCTGCAGACTCCCTGCTTCCTACTCATGGGGATCCTGTTCCTCCCTTGCCTTACAGCAGAACCTATCTCTGCCAGACAGCCAGCTTTGCGACCCCACGTCCACAAGCAGCCTGAGAAGACCACCCGAGTCCGAACTGTCCTTAATGAAAAACAGCTTCACACCTTGAGGACCTGCTACGCTGCCAACCCCAGGCCTGACGCCCTCATGAAAGAGCAACTGGTAGAAATGACTGGCCTCAGCCCGAGGGTCATCAGGGTTTGGTTTCAAAACAAGCGGTGCAAGGACAAAAAAAGGAGCATTATGATGAAGCAACTTCAGCAGCAGCAACCCAATGACAAAACTGTAAGTGGCTTCAGCCTCTGACCGTGCGCTGCCTTCCTTCCCAAGGAGCAACGCCTGGGCTGTGTCCAGCCCGGCCAGCCTCTGGGGTCGGTTTGACACTTTTGATTTTGTGGGAGCCCCCTTAAAGCAGAGAAAATGATACCGTTTAACTATTATCCGCTTGTTGCTGATGTCAGTGCAATTAAAACAGACCACAGCGAGAAGCCGATATAGGCAGCTCAAGAGAACACACGTCTTTTTGTGGGGCTAAGGATACGCAGTGGATTAACTTCTCTGCAGCATGAATTGTGACCTGCAGAGCTTATGGGATGTAATAAGCCCAGCCTTGTCTAATATTTATATTGCAAATGCAAAGGGCTCCTTGAGGGGAAAATGACGCTTTCGCCCTCCTCAATGGTTTTACACAGGAGTAATCCCAGAAGTAAAACCCCTGAGTAAAAGGGAAATTTGATGTATTTTCTTAGCACTTTATATAATACAATGTGTATGTGTGTGTTTGTCAGTGCACTTACTGTAGAAAAAGACAAATGCAATGCAAAGTTTTTGGAATTACTATCGTGTTTACAGGTTACTTAAAATATATCTAGTTCTTGTGCAGAAATATATTGAGTTTTTGTCTGTGGGCATATGCACGTGTGATGCAAACAAGTGGAAAGCGCTGGGTTCA